TTTATATATTATAATATAAAAATAATAATATAATATATTATAATAATTATATACCTTATATTATATAAATATATAATACCTATATTATTAGAGTTTAGTTAGTATGTAAATGTATTATTATTAATAATTTATTTTACATTATAATTTACAGGTTTTAAATTTTAATATATATTAATTTTTTTGAGTATATAATTATTTTAAAAATATCATAAATTATATCTATTTATTTATTTATTTAATTTTTTTTTTCGAACAATAACAATTTGAACACGAACGAACGCATCACTGTTCGTGTTTTCACGTTTGTCATGTTTACTCATCGAATAAGTTTAACAAAAACTCATTAACGAATCAAACACGAATAGAATCGAACACGAACTGTTCGCGAAAAACGAGCTTTTTTGACAGACCTACACCAGACCATGACAGCCCTACACCAGACCATTGGGAAAGGTTCACGATTGCAGCAGGTTTTTGGGAAAAGGCTCACGGCTAGGGAGAGTCACTGATACAGTAGGCGGGTGAGAAGTAGAAGAGAGTGTGGAGGCAGGCTTTTGGCAGCAAACAGTTTGTGGTTAGGAATAAGAGGTGCACCAATTAGCCGAGTTCTTAAGGCTTCAGTTGCACAGCAGAAAGGACTTTTGGGCTTGGTGGCTAGGTAAAGAAGGTGAGGGCGCTGACTGAAAATAGTGGAAGAGATGTGGGTTGTGGAGGGGATTAGGGGAAGATAATCACCACTTTGGGAGAAGCATATAACCGGAGCACCACCCAATCCGTCATATACAGCCCTAGAAGAAGAAAACGACCGCCAGCAGCCTGTTTTGACAGAGTTATGAAACAAGCTCACCAATAACTGAACCCTAACACCACAAGCAACATAAAAATAGAAGATGAATAGACAGAAAACAAAAATAAGGAGGGGAAAATAATTCTTGTCTAATGGAAGAGAGAGGAGGGGTCGGTTCAGCCCCTCCACCTTGTAGTTGGGTTGAACCGATTCAACCCCATAGCCCCCGCGTTAGAATTTGCATGATGTCGACACCTATTTCAACTATTCACTTGATGCTAAAAATTTTCTATTATTTAAAGATGCATCTCTAAAATATTTAGGGTATATTTAAAGACAACATAATAAAATAATAACACGTGCATCGAAATAGTTAAAGCCAAATGAAAAAAAACAATAATAATAATGATATGCATGATTCAAAATTAACAATAATTGCATTTACATTTAAAATTTGGTGTCGTCATTTTTATGGCATAAGTTGAAATATATACTGACCGTCGAAATTTAAAATATATTTTTACCTATAATAATATGAACTTGCGCTTGAGAAAGCGATTATAATTGTTTAAAGATTATGAGCACTTAGCTTCAACAAAAAATGGCAATATTGTATATGCTTTGAGCAAAAAATTCACAAAAAAAAATTATTTATAAGAAAAAAGGATATGGATATTTATTTATATATGGATGATTGTTCAACCTACTCTAAAAAGTGTCATTGGAAATGATAATAGATTGTTGACATGATATAAAATGATTCATTGAGATCATGTATTCTATATTCTAGAGAAAAATGGGAGGATCATAATTTGCTAATTAAGTTTATATACAATAATAATTTTCAATCCAAGATTATGATAGCACCATATGAATAAGTGTCATTTTGTTGTTTCATTTCTATAATGAGAGAAAACTCATTTGATTTGACAATTAATAAATTCTTGTAACAAAATCATTTTAAAATAATAGCAAGATAAAATTGATATGTTGAGGTCTTCTTCAAAATAATTATTTTAAAAAAGCTAAATTTTTAGTATAATTTTTAAATTATCAAAGTGCAAAATTTTTGCTTCAATCTGTAAAATATTAAACACAAGTCTCATAACAAAATAGATTATATTGATACAAAAAAATCTACATCAAAAGAATCTCTATACGACTACAAACCATGATGAAGAAAATTATCTTAACTTAAGGGCACAAGCTTTGTACTTTATTCAGCATACAACATTCAAGTATAATTATGATACAAATCTATGCAATAAACACAATTAAAACTATATAGAAAGATAAATGTAATCAATGTTTATGTGTTTAGATCAACCCAAGAGCATACATCCACACTTGAGCTCCTCTCCAACTTAGGATTCCACCACACATGAATCTCTCTTTTCTCAATTTACAGAGGAGGAAACCCTCTTTTCCTTCAAATGAAAGCATATCCTCTAAATCTCTTCCTTCAAACTAGCAAAATATTTATAGTTGCAAATGGTATATTTATAAGATTAACCCCACAATCTACCTCCAATGTCATGATCCAAGTCCAGACTTAACCACATTTAGCATTATCATGCCAGTTGGGTAATTTGAAACGTACAGCATGCCATCATGAGCCTCGTTAATTTAAGATGTTAAGTATAAAATAGCATCAATAGAATTTATAAATAACTAAGCGCTGACAGGGCTCATGATGGCATGCTGTACATTCATGAAATTATGCATAATTTAAAAAAAAAAATTAATAATTATAAAATCTAAAATGGTGATAATATTATAATTTAGCCATGAAGATTTTTAAAATTGCTTGTTCAAATTATATATAAGATGGAGACACTAGACACATACAATAGGAAGTCAGACCAATTTTAAACTTTTTTTTCTTGACCTGCCTCATCTAAACAACTAAGTTGTAAGGCCCATAACCTTTGAGGCCCTATTTTAATTTCAAGACGATATGCCCTGTGAAAAGTCAAACCAACACCAAATCCAAATATTTGAGACATTGGGCACACAAAATATGATGTTAAGCCAGGCCATATGAACTTGTAATATTCTAACATATTTTATTCGGAATAATCTAAATTTAATTAAAAATAATAATTTATTAAGTCCAGTTATGTAGTATATCAATTATCAATTTAATTAAAGTAGGTGAATTGCATCAAATGATCGCTTGGCTCTACGATCGATTCGCCGATAATTATAAATAATTAAGAATATAATTAAAGTGTCATATTTTCTTGCATAAATAATGTAATATGTATATGTAAAGATTGAAATTTAGATGTTCAAAAATGTAAATAGATAAGAATTGAGTGGTATTTATGTAAATCAATCTTCCATAAATAAATTAAGTGCATTGATACACTGGCAGAATAACCAATGCGATCCTAATCTGGACCAACAACGAATGCATTCAATAAAAATTTTGAAATTAGTGCAAAAGCGAATTCATTCAGAACCCACAAAACAGAATCTCTATTTTCATGTTAACGTCCCACGCATCTTTATGCCACATTAAGGTTCCACATTCAATTTTCGGCATCGGTATTTATGTGTGATATAACTCTCAAATGGGGGGTCAATTGTAAGATAAATTCTGCAGCATAACTGTTCTTGAATAGACAAATATGAGTCAATATATTCTATTTTTATTTCAGTTGTTTACTTAACGACCCAATTAAATCTTAATCTTGAACATAAATCACATTTCTAAACTTTATATAAATAAAACAATAAGCATGTGCCTTTTTAGATCCACCTTTATTTTTGTTAACATAAGTCGAATCTAAAACATCTGTGCTCCTAACAGGATCATCAGGTGATTGGCGCTTAATGTGACCAAACCATGTAAGACGAGTATATCTAATCTTATTTGCTATTGATGCTCCTCCAACATTTTCATAGATAACATTCATTTATCATTTTGTTGTCTCTTAAGTATCAAGCCGATCATCTACCCAAGCATTCTCCTCTTAGCATCACTTTACACCCAGCCATCTTATAACATCCCCATATATATCACAATCATTTTGAACAATAGAGAAAAGATAACTAAAATAATCACACATTTTAAGAATTTCATCACCCATTATTACAATTCTGCCACGGCTAAAATTAGATTCCTTGTATTCAATTTTAAATCTACTCAAATGAAGGCTTTAGATTCTAATTTAGATTGCCATAATTCAATTTTTTTCTCAGCTCTTTTTCTAGTCTTATTCACAAGAAGAATATAATCAATGACAAAAATCAATTTCTATAAATAAAGAAAAAGTAAATAAATAAATAAATCTTTTACTAACAAAAAATGAGAACATTTTCACTGGCAAGCAAAAAGCCTGCTTTAAATGAACAGTTGTAATAATCTGTGATTATGCAACTAAAGACAAATCTCTTTCCTTCTATGAGCTTTCAGCCTAAATCTGTGTCTATCACAATTAACAATGCACACACCCCTGCTTCCAACCTTATTACAGAGGCAAAAATCATTCAATTTTACACCAAATATTGCAACATCAGTTGCAGTAAACTATCTCTGAAACTAAGAAAATTTAACAATAAATCAATGAAAAATCTGAGAGCCTCTTGATAAAAACTGCACAATTGTACATATAACCTGGCCTGTAATGCACCGCCATCAGCGCTCCTTAAATCATTCCGAGCCACTACTACTCGAGTAAAATTGTGGCCCGAGCAAAAAACCGAGAAACAAACGAAGAATTCGACCGATTATTCGTTAGGAATTGTGACCTACATAGCCTCTAAGATTCACAGGTGGACGGGTAATCCATAATTCTGGAACGAACGAATCCTCCCATCCCAGCCTGCAGTCACTATGACTTGGCCCCAGGCATGAGAGGTGTTCTTTTGGCAAGGAGGTTTCAGAAACTTGAAATGTAATTTACCAGAACTTGACATTTTTGATAAAGAAGAAGGTAACTTCTCTTCCGGCCATGTTGCTGAACCCCTGTGGATGATATCAGCAAAGAACTCTGGGCTTAAGATGATATTGCTGGAAGGTGAGAGGTAGAGAATCTTGTTCCCCAGCGAGTCTACCAGAGACGGGAAATCCTTTTCTGGATATCTTTTGTGGTTTTCATGTGATGAAGTTAGGTGAAATGGTCCCGACGCTGACTTCTTCGATGATAGACCCTGCCATGGCACTGCAATGCACGCATGATTGGAGTCGAAACACTCGGAGGATCGAATGCTCTTTGAATTGGACGATGGGACATGATCCGTCTTCAAGTGGTTCCAGATGTAGACTTTCGAGTCCTCGCTGGCGGAAACTATGTGGTTCCCATCAGAAGTGAATGCTGCAGATATCTGGCCTCCGGAATTGTGGAGACCTGGGAGGAAGAAATAGATAAATGAGATGTTGGGAAAACATCAGGGCATGTACATAAACATCACACAGTTCTTACAAGTTTCCATATCCCACACCTAAACTTCTTACATATTTAGGCACCTAACACTCAAATCTTTAATATCACATCAAAACTAGTACTATTATCATTTTTAAAATGCGAAATACACCTTTTTTTCAAGCATAGCTTTAAAGCACCAAAGTGCTATGTACATAAATATGGAAGTCTAGGTGTGAGATAACGCAAGTGCAGAAGAACTGAATGTTAAGTATGTAAATTTTCCAAAAACGCATTCAGTGCTTCAAGTTCAATAAAAGTAGATTGTAGTTCAGCAATACCTTTGTATTTAGAGACTACATTGGGCCCATCAAGGATTCTTATTTTTGAATCAGCAGAAGTAACCATTAGCTTGCAGCTGCTACTGGGGCAAAACTAGGGAATAAAAAATCATGAAGTTAGAAAATTTTGAGGATCAATAAAAGAATTTGGTCAATTAATATGAATGAAATTGTCTACCTGAAGGCCGGTGATCCTCTTTTCTACAGACTTCTTTTTGCCGCAGAACGAAAGCTTTCTATCCAGTTGAAGATGATTATCTGAAACATCCAGATAAAGAGATGAACTTCCCAGGAGTAACAACAAACTAATCTAGAGATTTAGAGGGTAGGAGAAAATTAAAACAAAACTTTGAAGAAAATGCATGGAAGATTAAAACTTTCAGCTAAACAGTTGTAATTCAGTTGTTTCTTCGCTAAACATAAGACTGAATTTCTTTCAATAAAATTTCCATAAAGCTTTATATTTGCACCAAAAATCCACGAGGTTTGTAGTTTTGGTGAAAAAGGACAATTTCTTCAAAAGTTGACATATAAGAGCAAAAGTATACATATTTCATAATCAAGAGCAAACATCCAGCCTTTATAGTTTATACCAGAGATTCTTGAAACTCTAGCAGCATTACCACGGTATGTCTTGAAAACTGGTAATACTACTAGGGTTTTTCATGAAACTTGCAATAATGTTATGCCAAAATTTTATAACAAACTCATAAGTAAAAAATCTTATGACTAGTTGTCAAGGTTTCAAGAAGCATTAGCAAAATTAGTTGTCCTATATACAAAATAGGACACTATTGTCCTTTTTAGCTAAATTTTTAAACTACAATGTTTTTTTCACAAAATGGCAAACTACAAGGAGTTTTCTAAAAATAAAGTCAATTTAATTTGCATAATCCAATTATAATAATGCTCTACTTTTTCAATTATATCTCATGTACAGCCGAAGAAATACACTAGAGCCCATTTGGTTGTTTGCTGATAAAGGACATGTCTTAGAAAGCAATGTTTTCGTTTCACTTATTTTGTTGGTGAAAATGTAATCGTTATATTTGGGAGGTTTTGGAAGTTTAAATTCTTATTTTGATTGCTCGCTAAATTCAACCAAAAACAGAATCCAGCAAGCTTAAGAATTTCTTAGGGCCCATTATCCATCTACAAGCAATCAAGAGTGTAAAACAAATAAATAGGACTTCTATCAGGGGTTGAAACAGACTATGTCTAGAGTGGGCAATTGCCCACCTTTAAATTTGAGATTTCCCTATATAAGTACTAAAATTTAATGATTAGTTTCTTATATAATTAAAGCAATTTTGTAATTTAATATTTTAAAAAAATTAAACATTTGGTTATTTTGCCCATCCTAAAACATAAAGCTAGTTCCACCCCTCACTTTCATATACATATGAAAGGCTAAAATAGTTCACATGTAATTATGATTCTGCAGGCATTTGCTTAAACTAAGATCTTCAAGGATAACATGTTATATTTAAAGTATATAACGAACAGCAAATCAATAAAAATTTTCACAAGAAAAAGAAGTAATACATAGTACGCACCTGATGCATCATAAAAGCAACAATCACCCATCATGGAGCCAACAATAACTCCCTGCAAGGACCAAAAAAAGGCATTAGCTTCTCAGACATCCAATAATTTTCCACAAAAATTTTAAAGAGCAAAGAACAAATCTAATTACCTTCCCATCTGGGTGATAGCAAACTGCAGTGACAATCTCTTTGATATCAGTCCAGTTCACAACACGGCAATTCGGAATTTCCCAGATGCGAACTTTCCCATCTATAGAACCACTTATGAAATATCTCTCATCAGACGGATTAAACTGAACGCAAGTCACTGCATGATATCACCAAAAGAATGAATTTTCAGGTTTTGACCTGCAATTTAGATCGATAAAAGAGTACGGTAACGAGTTAGTTTAAATAATTAAAGAAAGCGCACCATAGTTATTATGAGCAAAGACTTTGAGGCAACCATCACAGCCCAATTGCCACAAACGAACAGTTTTATCAACAGAAGATGATAGCAAATGCTGCAAAGAGTGTTCATTTTCAATTCAGAGATGATTTTTATGAAAAAAAAAAAGCCTTTTTTGGGGATTCTCTGCTAAGAATATATCGATTACATGCTTTTGGTTCAAGTTTACCTTGCCATTCGACCAAGCGAGATCCAAAACATCGCCTTTATGACCATGGAACTCATATAATGGTTTCTCAGATAAGCGAAAAACCTCCGGAGGAACAACAACACATGCTGAATCTGAAGTGCTGCATAAACTCCTCGATCTGATAAGTTTTTCTTTATCAGCATGAAGGGTTGAAGCTTCCCTATTCCGGTGAACAGTCAAGTAAATGCATGAAGGATCATCATTAGGAATGTCATATTCACTAGTCCTCACACACTCCATCACACGCCATATTCGCACAACTCCATCTTCACCAGCACTGGCTAAATACTCTCCATCGGGGCTAAACTTCATGGTAAGGATAGCCCCACGATGGGCCTTAAAGTTTTGCCCTGAATAGACAGCAGAGAATTCCTTGGATTGCTTTCTATATGGACGCACTTGAATTTTTTGAAATCTGCTTCTCGACTTTTCTTCTGAATCAGATAAATCTGAAGAAAAATGGTAGTTTTGCCTATCAACAATGCAAGCAACGGCACCCAACCACCTCAACCAACTAAACCTTTTTCTAAGCACCGTTTTGTCAGAGCTTGTGCTTGATGAGCTATCATTTCTCCGGATGGATTGCTTAGCATAAGATGACATAAAGAGCCTCTCATCTTCCCGAAGACTTCGACCACCACAGCTCTGGTTTGAATCATTCAAAATTTTTGTTTTGCAGCTAAATGGTTCAGCAGAGGCTCTCCTTTGAGGTGTGCTGGGAGGCTCAACAAAGCGGGAAGACTGCAGAGATTCATTTGCCCGAACAGAACCCTGGAGTACAGCACCAGAATCGGAAGATAGCCTATCAATGCCCTCTGTGGCTGTGATATCCACCCTTAGTTCTTTGTCTGGTACAATGGAATCGGGATTAAGGCTAGTAATCGGATCTAAGCCCATGATCTGCTTGAACTTAGCTCTCCGTTCCTGTATGCTACCAGGACTCTTGATCCACACCTGGTAGAAAGGATCGCTGTTCACCAACTTACCAGAATTCTCTTCTGGAAATGAAACATCGCTAGTAGCCGGGCTTGGAGGACAAGAATCAAAAACTGACGATAAGTCGTCTCTAGGTTCGAAAAACAAATCGTCTTCTTCTCTGGAGAGAAAGCCGAGAGCCATCATATCCTCTCACTTCTAAAAAAAAACACAAAACAAATTCATTAAGGATAGAGAGAAGCTATCGTGTTATTCTATTAATAGTGCAACAACAACCCTAAATTATCGCCAAAGCAAGAGAATAAGACAGATAAACTCAAAATATAAAACTTAAAAGACTAATAACCAAATCCAAGATCGGAAGGCAATGAACCTGGCCATCAAAAGCATTGAAGTTTTATCCCAAGTAGGCAATTCTTCAAAAATCTATAAAAAAAGGAAAAATTTGCCAAAACCTGAGATAAAAAAATTCCATTCCCAACACTGATCAACAAGAACAAGCCCAAATCACGAAAAAAGAATTGTAACCCGACATGAAGACCAAGCTTAAAAAACAAACAAAAGAAAAAAAGAACAACTTGACCAGACAAACCACGACAGCAAGAACGCGGAATTTACACAGAGGACCATGGGCGCTCACCTTCTCTCCCATGAAAAATTTAAAAAAAATCCAAAACAGCAGCGTTGAATCGAAGTAGCGTGAACAAACGCAGAGATCTCTGGAATCCAATTTTCCTCTCCCTTCGCTCTCTTTCTTTCTTCTCGACGGCAGGAATCAACGCATAAATAGCTCCATCAACTATCAAATGAAAAAGGTAACAGCAACGGATCAAGCTAAAAAACAAATTGCGAATTAGGGTTGGGCCCTCGAATCGATTTCTGCGATCGAATTTCCCGATTTGAGAATCGGGAAGGTACGGGCTAGGGTTTGTGCACCGTCTACTCGAGTCCAATGCCGGACTTCTCTCTCTCTCTCTCTTATATAGGAAAATATTATTTACATTCTAAGCTTAATGTCCTTACAATTCTTGCGGACTTCAACCGCAAATGGCCGTAAAAATTATATGCTTTCTTATTAAATTAATAATAAAATGATGAACACGCGTAATATATATATTTAAAGGGTATATATATATATATATATATATATATATATATATATATATATAAAGAGAGAGCCCTATCTATTACACAATCCTCCAACCATCCATAATGTGTAATAATTCTAGTACCACATTCTTAAAGTCAATTATGTCAAAGGGATTCGAACGCCAAACCTGAGGGGTCTTATACCGTGGATGACAACCAACTGACCAGGATACGCGATTCATATATTTATAAATATATATACACACATATATTTAATCAATTATTTTTATTACATTTGTTTAAAATCTATTTAATATTTATAAACTATCAAAATATAATTTAATATGTTATGAGTATAATTCAAGTTGGACGGTTGAAGTCTATTTTATGATAGAAAAGTATTCTTTTGTCTTGAAAAGAAAATTTTATAAAATGGTGGTGTGACTTGTAATGTTTTATGATGCAGAATGATGGCCTATAAAAGAAAAGCATAAAACTAAGAGCCGTTAAAATGCTCGTTCTTAAGTAATTTGTGTTTGATTTGTTCGTCAAGCAAATAAATTGAGCACGAACAAATTTTTTGAACTAGATATATAAACGGGCTAAACAAGAAAAAAAATATGTTCGTTCGTGTTTGGTTATTCGTATTCGGCTCATTTTGACTCAAATTAATTAAATGATATATATATATA